ACATATTAAATGGGAATGTGATAGAAGCGAAATGAACCGTTCAATTCGTCCCTGCTGTGCCACATGATTAATCTAAAAGTTCTTTACTATCACGGGACACAGGCCTAAAAGTAGATCTGCTTTATGGAGTCTACCCAGCAAGCATCAATAAAAAATATTGTCAGGCTGAGAGTCCCTGAAGACGGCACGGAGTACAGTCACGGGAATATACAGATCAGAAACTAAACTGTTACACTGCGCTGGATATTGCTTCTTTTTCATCTCCTGCAATTGTTTATTCTTGCCCAGAGTGTCCCAAAGAGCCTTTTAGATAATATTTACTATAAAAGCTCCTACATGTTTTATACGAGCAGCTTACAAATCAGGCTCATGTTGAGAAGTAAAGAGGAAATGGCTGCCAATTTTGCAAACAATGGCGCGTAGCGGGACAGATGAAAGCGAGTCATCTCTCACAATACCCCATCGCTGTGTGTGCGCTTTATGTTGTTGAAGGTAGGGAGTCTGTGACTAAGAGCATGAATGAATACGATACATCGACATCTGGAGTTTTACTGGTGTGGAGAAAAAAATGCTGTTTTACAATTTATACAAATTCAGAGAAAAAGAAACTAAGTTGAGGCTGGATTTCAATTCTTTAGCTCTCAGGTCACCTTTTGTGGGCTGCCACCCATGATCATAGATCTTTAAAGGGACACACAATTTTGTACATCTCATTCAAAAGAAATACATTAAGGCTCCATTCACGCCAGATCCATTGCGTTGCCTTACTATCCATTTTTTAAAGGACGGTACCGCAAGGGCAAAGAGAAATTAATGGGTGTAAATGGGGACAGTTCACACCACAGCATTGTATTGCTTTGCCATACATTGTGCCAAGAAAAACGTAGAGCATGCTCTACTTTTTTCAGCTCAATGCATCGAGTAAAAAAGCGCATGCTAACGCAGTGCATCACGGGCAATTAAGTCCGTCACACACTGCACACGAAGCAGCGCGGAGCAAAGCAAGCTGCAAAGAGTGGACATTCGCATGCAGTTTGCAAGAACTCGAGTAGCTGAGCGCCGCGAGATGAATGACTTTATCTTCAGCCAATCAGCTCATGCGTATCAACTCAATGGAATTTGCGTCCTGACGTGTGGGTTAATACCCACGATCTCATTGGCTGAAGATGAAATTTTCATCTCGGCACGCTCAGCTATGCGAGCTCCTGCAAGCTGATGAGCCGTAGAGAAAATTGCAAGACACACTGCACGCGAAGGTCCACATGCCGCCCCTTTCCTTTGCTCCTCGCTGCTTCGCCTGCAGTGTGTCACAAGCTCTACAGTGAAGTATGTCCACTCAGGACGTCACTTCAAATAAAGCTTGCCAAAAAAAGAAAAAAAAACATGACAAAACGCAACGGATGGGAAGGAAAATGGAAGCTACAATAACAAGTCAATGGACCCTCTGTTGACTTGTGAGTACCTTTCGGTGTTGATGTTAATGTACCCTGAATCTTCCAATCATCATTCCTCCTGTACAGCTAGTCTTAAAATTGAAGCGACCCATTGACATTAGGACCACTGGGTCAAATCAAATGTGGTATTTCCAAATCTGGTCCTTACAGCTCAGACACATATAAATATACGTTTAAAGTGAACTTGAGTGTTGCCCATGGAGGGCAAAAAACAGGTTCACTTTATTACCCCCTACCCCAGATAAACCCACCTTCTCTTTGATCTTCTGCTGCTTTGTTCAGCCACCAAAAGTGAAAGAAAGGAAGTGCTGTGTAAGATGGATACAAGTGCATCTATTCAGCGCTTACACCAGGCTAAGTATTCTCTCCCTGCCCCATATGACAGTGTTGGGCCAATCATCAACCACTAGTGCTGCCACATGAAGAGGAAGTGAAGGGAGTCTAATGCCCAAATGTGGTCTTCACAAATCTTGTCCTTTGCAGCAAATATACATTTAAAGTGACCCTGTGCTTTGCTCATGCAGGTGCACTTTATGCCCCTCCATCCCCAGCTTCATGTACATCCCCTTTGCTCTCCTGCTGCTTTGTTCAGCCACTAAAAGCAAAGAAAGAAAGCTATGAGTTGCCCTATTCAGAATTTACATAGGACTTTCTCCCTGCCCCCATGTTACAGTGCTGAAGAAGTGAAGTTAAGTGAGTCATATGCTCCTCCATACTGGGAAGTACTGGCTATGTTCTTCACTCTCGATGGGTGAATGGAGTATCGGGGGTCAGAAAGAAAGATAAGTGCAGCTTGGGAGGGAGGATTTCCATGAACCTGTTGCTATGCCCTGAGTAAAGCGAACTATATGACTACTAAAGGTAGCCTCAACTGGGGCCCCTGACATAATATTGAATATATGTATGGCCGCGTACTCCCATAGAGAACAGGCTGCTGTGTACAATCAGATGCAGCACCTGTCCTTCCCGGGAGCGGCCTGATACGGATCTGTATGGGCAGACTCTTAGCTGTGTGAATGAGGCCTTACTCTCCTCCTCATGTATCACTTCTCCCTTCCTTTTAGATTGTAAGCCTTCAGGGGCAGGGCCCTCCTTACCATCTTGTCTTGATTTGTATTGTGATTGTAACGTCTTCCTTATATTGTAAAGCGCTGCACAAACTGTTGGCGCCATATAAATCCTGTATAATAATAATAATAATAATACACCTCAATATATGTACACAGTAAAATGTAAAACACAAACGACAGTTATTTGCTCTTTAATGAAAAATGACCTTTTCACACATTGCATAGGCTTTTAATATGTTTGTTGTCAAGCATTTCCCAGAATTCCTGTAATCTTTGTTAGTCTTGCAAGTGATTGGCTTATAGAAATCGAAATGGAAAGCAAATTCTTTCAAAGACAGCGTAGAAGTACACAAGCCAGATAGGACCATACGGAAAATACATTCAGTTGATTAGTCTAGTGTTTCCAATAAACAAAACCTGAAAATAACATTAAGTCCACTTTTTCTGAAGGTAATTCATCATTACAAAACATTCTTCTTTTCTCTATCTGGCTAAGATGTACAGTTCAGGGACCATATCAAATGGACAATGTAAAAACAAGTATTGCAATGTTCTTAATTTATAAATAAACTGCCG